ATTTTTTGAAGGCGATTACAAAGCTCTATTTTGAAAAAGAAATAAGTAAAAATGTTCACTTGCGTTGACATAGAAACGTATAATATGAACTTTATGCCATAATAAAGTTGATAAAAACTCTAAAAAATGTGTATTTTCTGTATTCAGGAAAAAACAAGTAAAGATTATATGTTAAAAAAATTTAAATTTTTTAAGGTTTGGTAATTTTTAGTAGAGACATCCCTTAACCTCTATCTATTAAGCTTTTTATTAAATACGTTCAAAGATAATTAATAATATTGATATAATTATGACGATCAACATTAATAATTATTTCAGAGTTTTAGAACAGAAATAAACTATGCAGCACCAATTTGCAAACTTAAGTAAATAATGAATACAATGAGCCGGCTAGTAGCAAGTTAATATTAATTCAAAACAATGCATGATTAAACATCAATAGATGAAGTCACTCATAATCAAACAACCAGGATGGGATAATTAACTCACGTTAAACAATTATTCATGTTTTTCATAGTTAATAATAGCTTTTTCAACTAACTACACAAATATTTATTCCTAAATTAATGTTCAAAAAAATTGGCGGAAAACATATTCTAATATCGATTACTAAAAAAACCACTTGTGTTGTTCTTTATGTTTCTGTTGCTGTTTTTGGTTGGTTCTTATTTAAAACTATTAACTAATTTAAGATACAAGTTTTTTAATTAGTTATAGACATAGTCCCTAGTTTCGTCATTGCTTAGTACAATTCATAGCTGTTGATACAGAATCGTAACAGTCCTCTAACATGACAAATATTTAATATAACAATTTTAAAAAGTGTTATATTTTTGACACTCTGTAATTTATAAATAATATTAACATCGATTGTTACCCAAATGATTGCCAAATGTATACATAACAAGAACTAGACTTTTTATTACCCTAGGTTGTTATTGGTATTTTACATATAAAGCAGTTTAAGTTACGGTTGAAAACGAGATGACTTTGATGAATGAAAGAAAACGCACTTAATTTGTACTTGTTTTAACTATCCAAATAACCAATAACCATTTTCCAATTTATTTACGTACACAACAATTTTGCACGAGTTCATATCTTCTGGTAAATCAAAATTATTAGCTGGAATTTAATTTATTTGAAGTGGTTGCTAAATGTTTATAATTAAAAGTTAATTAGTTTGGTGAAGTTAACGCAGAAACAGAGGGAGGTGGAGGGAAGTAGGGAACCTTGCCATCAACGAGCTTAAACTTCTGCTAAAAACTTGAATGAATATTAAATGTAACTTTGTTCTACAAAATAATTGTTTACGTTAAATAGGGCATTAATAATAAGACAGTGTATTTCCTTTTTGATATTCAGAATATGGAAATTGCCAGTACGTTTAACATTTTTTCATCTGATTAAACTGCAGTTTAATGTCTACGTATTCATTAGGCATGTTTATCTTGTCCTTTTTTGTTCAAGCAAATTTTCCATATTTGGGAATAAAAATTGTTTTTCTTTTTACTTCCAGGATTAGGCATACTATGGTTAATCAACAATAGTCTTTGACACTTCCCAAGAAGAGCGTTCCTAGCTGTCGATTCATTATCAATAATTATCCATCAAAAATGTATACGCTTGTGGAATTTAAAGTCCCGGACAATATTAAGATAGTAACACACTTCTAGTGTTTCATTGTTGTTTAAACTAGAATCGTATACAACTAGAGTAGTAGTGAAACCCGGCGTTGTCCGAAACGGCACACGGAAGATTTCTCAGGTGCCATTTGACGTCACTAACTGCTGATGTCACTTTGAGGGAACACCAATACCGCAACGATACGGTATGAGCCATCGGCCTCGGTGATCTAGTGGATAGCGTTGCGGGCTGGTATTCCAAAGGTACCAGGTTCGAATCTCGCCGGCGGCGTTAACTTTTTATCAACATATTTTTCTTAACAGCAAGTTTGGTTGGTTTGGTTAGGTTATGACAGTTTAATTTTATAATTAAAAATTATAAAATTGAATTTTAGATATTTATAATTTTATTTTATGAACAAAACTATTTTTTAGATTAGTAAACTTTTATTCGATTTTTCCATTATCAGCACGTTTGGTTAGTTTGGTTAGGTTATGACAGTTCAATTTAATAGTAGAAAATTATAACATTTTCTGTTTCTTCAGACGCAGCAGTAGACGTCAAACGGGGAAACGGCACCTGAGAAATCTCCCGTGTGCCCCACCGGGCATTGTCCGGGTCAAAATACAATGCACAATAAAGGCTATAAAAAGTGATTTGGAAACATTTGTCGTGCAAAACAAATAATACTCAGATAAACACACGTCAGCAGCGTGTAAAGCTCTTAAATCTCTACATCTCAACTAGGACGAGAGAGCAGACTTGTAAAACAGCTCCACTTTTTGCTTTCACGACTGTTTTCAAGCGCTAGCTACTACTATTGCTACTATATATACTACTACTATTGCTTGTATTTTAACTTTGAACTGTATTTTTTCTACCCCAAATTCATATTGACCTATTTTAAAATCGCTGTATCTGCCCTAGCATATGTATAAACTGATTTGTTTTATGTGCTTTATTTCAATTTAATTTTTTGTCACTCCGTCACAGGTACTCTGTGCCTATTAACTAATTAATGTGACTATGGAGACTGATCGAGAATGAGACCAAATATTTAAAATCGCCATATCAATTATTAGAGTATATAAATCGTACCCACTTCAATGTGTTATTATTATATGTGTTATTATGTGTTCAATTATTTGATTTGACTGCTCGGGACTAATGAACCTGTTGTTAATTAATGTTATCAAATGCATGATGTATTCACTTGCTGACAACTCCGCTCCAGAGCATTAAAAATGAAGATTTTACTGTGGAGTTTTATTTTGCTATTTAGCAATTCCAGGAAATACAAACTTCTAATGGGTGAATGTATCAAATATGACGTTTAACATGGTTAATAGTTTTGCAAGTAGCTCATCGTAAAACCAAAATATGGTGAATCATAATAAATTTTTTTGGTATGACGCAATTAACTAGTGTGAAGCTTTTGATGGAGGGAGGTCCTTGATACAGAAAACATTCTTCTCCCGTGACTTACAGTTTTATTCTTTATAGGTTGGCTTATAGATGTGGGTTACGAACCACGGAGTCATAGCATATTCTAGCTAATCACCATTTGGTGATTGTTGCGATTTCAACTCGGGTTCCAACATCAAAAGACCCGCTAAAGATACCCTAACCACCATCCTCTCTAATCCTAGGGGTTTTCTAATAGGTTTCTCAGTATACAAAAGATCCTCAACATAGAAAATGTTTTCGACCACTTATATACCACCTTTTGTTCTATAAGCATTAAACATACAGTATTTAGAAAATCATTTTAGCGTTACTTTTGCTAAAACCCCCTCTTATATTTGTTATTTCTCTATAGTGGAACTTAAGTTTAAGTATAGACGATACATGTAATTTCTTTCCAGACAACTAAGTTGACATAAATTGAACTACTTTATTTACGTATCACGTTTTTCATATACTGTAACAGTGTTCGGAACAGCTCATCTGGAAGCTATGTCCAAACGTTTAGCTGAGCTGAAGCGTACGCCGAGCTGAGATCTAGACAAGCGAATGACAGCTACAACTGGCCAACTCATGTCTAAGTACCGTGAAAACATATCAATTGTGAAAAGGCGACTCTAATCCTGTGAATCATCTAGGGTTTTTTTTATTTAAACAGTTCAGTAAATGTATAGGGAAAATGGTGGTTTGGTCGAGGTGTAAAACAAATGATTTTGGTCAGAGTTTATAAGGCAAATCCTACTTTATACCATGAATTTCATTTATTATAAATAAATAAAGACTAGTGTTTTTTTCACCAAAATGTAATAAATAATAAGTGTAATACTTTCATGGGTCTCTTGCGGTTATGAATGGGGTTCGATGTAAGCAAACTTTGAAATTTGATGTTAACTTAACTTTGGCTATGGATGAAAGAAGTTTAATAACGCTAATACAATTTAAAGAGGCTAGTTTTTCCAGTTTTTTTTTTATTTTAATTTTAATTCCATCGATAACGTAAGGAAAAATTATCAGCATAGGGTCATTACAATAAGCAAAGAAAAAGTGACCGTCTCAATGCCTATAGCCAAAGGAAGGTCAAAATGCAGGATTTGAGACGTTTTGAGTTACCTAAACTGGCCTCAACACGTAAACAGTTCTCTCGATAGCTAACCTAATAAGTTAGTAAAAGTACCGAGGTATTCAGTTTTAGAATACACGGAAATTGAGTGATCGAAAAATGTTTTATGTTTTTATATTTTTATCCCCAGTTCTTTTCCATACACATAGATAATAATTTCCAACAAAGAGCGTTATTCCAAGCATTTTCTAATTATACATTTTAAAATTCGTTAAAAGAGTAAATTTACAACCAAGGTAACTGGCGAATTATTGATCAAAGTAAAACCTACTTTATATAAATGTAAATGAAAAACTAAACGTATACACTTACCATCCATTGTTAAAATATGAAATACAACAGTATTTCAATTATGTTAAATCATTTCAAATTCAATTGCACTGTCATTTTCAATCATTTAAATCCAGTCCGAACCTTCGTAAACAATATCCACTTTATATTCGCACCGATATAATTTGATGGATGTTTTAAAAAGTGGCTCTCTAAAGACCGATATTTGTAAATATGGCAGGAAAGTATGATGAATACTGTGGCGTCAGTTTATTCAATAAGGGGACCAATGAAGATGTGCTCTTTATAACGTCAATTTATTGTCCCGCCCCCATTCCCTATCCTCCCCATCTTATCACCTCCTCGACCTAAATATTCCCTTTTCTCTCCCTTGTCGATATCATTCAATATTGTCAAGACGCGATAAGCCTATCGTAGCTAGAACAGTCGGTACTTAATCACAAATACTTGTTTAAATTGTAATTCTTCAATATCTAATAGTACTCTTTTTTATTTTCAGCCAACTCCTAGCGCCAAATTTGGTCCAAAAGCATTTTCTTCCCAGCGGTGCAGAGCAGGTATCGAAACAGGTAAATGACATGATATATTTAGGAATTACAACTTTTATTTCTATATGGAACCTTTTGTATGCTGTTTTTTTTTGTGTGAACATAAGTCCATATTCGTATTCATATTCATTTGGGATGGGGACGCCAAAGTGTCGACCGACTTTGCTATTAACTGAAGCGTACGATTAGCACTCCTGGTAAATAAAAGGTTATTTTTAAAAGATTATATTGCAGTGTTATTTTTCATAATACTTAAAGCGTGGTGATCTTGAAGTTTAGGTACAGACTTTGTATTTTGACATCAATACCTATTTTTGATTACTTTAAAGATTTATTCATTAATAACATTAGTCAGTATAAGATGATGTAAAATAAGTTGTACAAGACATTATAAATACTTGTATAATTTACCGTATAAGTATCTGTTGAGTCCATGTATTAATAAAGACATAAGCTTGAACAATTATGGATATACCAAAAATATATTTATCAGTGGGTTTTATAACTACATTCAATTTAAACTGACACTAAACAACTTTAACATAATAATTATAACCAAAGAATGTTCGTAGATACCACAAATTCAGAACTGTAATACAACTGATTGGGTAAATTTACATGAAGAGGGGGGCTTGAAGTTGTAAAAGACATATTAAACAGAATTCCAAGTATTCCTACATCAACAGCGCCTACCACAAGTGTAGAATATAATATAGCCCAAACCTAAATACCCAGATATGAACCACGCCATATGTTCTAAATTATGTATGCAAACTTTGACTGGCTGAACACTTAATCCTGATGAACAATCATTCAAATTTCCCAAGGGCTTATAAGCCCTACCTTCAAAACGTGACGAGAAGTTGCCCTTTAACATTAGAGTTTGCGTTTGATAACAATAGTGGGTTGTGAAATTGTAATATTTTAGAAGTATATTTGATTGTATCTTATTAAAAAAGTACAAAATTAAAATGGTAATTGCATCCTTTTAAAATGTTACAATTTACGAGTTGTAAATTATGTTGGATAACTCAAGAGAAGCCTGAAGAAAATATTAGGAGATGATATATCTAAATGAAAGAGGTAAAGTACAGTTCAATTCCACAAACCACATGCAAAATATTATAGTTAGAATAATATTGTAGATTATCACAAGGATATTGAAAATTATGTCAACCTATCAAGTATTTCAAAATGTTCTCAATTTAAGTTATTACTCAATAAAAAAAAAAACGAATAGAACATATTTTCAGAATTTATCAGGGCAACTTAGATAGTTCTTATCTTCTTAGACGGGTTTGAGGTAACTCATTGTTTTCTGGTGGTCAAGCGATGATTACGACTAAACTTAGAGGTATATTTTGATAATATACCTCCTAATAATTCTGGTAACACCTTCTGTAAAATAAATTAAAACAATAATTCTATAGAACATTAAAATGTACAAAAAAAACTTAATAATTTAAAACCACGAAAACTAGCACAATTGTCCCCGAAGTTGGTACAGTTTGTATTCATGCCAACCAAATGTAAAGTTGGCCGACGGTGAGTTTACAGCTAAAGTTGGACCATTCTTCGTTATTTCTCGGCTACGATTCCTTCTCACCAAGTTAAACCGTCGTATCAAACTTATTTGTGACGTTTTCAATGAAACTTTTACAACCATTTGAATATTCGCTGGTTTGTAATGAGTTGTTCGAAGTTAGCAAGTTTTTCTCTAATTATAGCTTGCGTTATGTCTGTTAAACCGAAGTTTGTAAACTGGTCACGTTGTATCTGTGGTTTCGGTTCGATGCACTGGGACTAGTAGTTGATAACAAATCAGTGGTTTTATTTTTGAGAATTTTATTTAGAATTTTTTATTCGAACGGGATTTAGTAACCTAGTTGGGTAGAGGTTTTGCGCGTTGTCTTTAACAACAATTCCTATAAAGGTTTCCTAAGATCAAATGAACCAGTCTTTGGAGATTTTCAAGAGTTTTTAATGAAAATATTCCACAATTCCCCTTAAATCCTAGGTAGTTACTAAGAAATAAGGTAAATCCTTATAGAGATTTGGAAACTATGACTTCACGCAGCCAGAGACTATTAATACATTGTATATTCAGATGCATATCCATTTCTTCTCAGCAGCGATTTGTATGGAACAAAATATTGTATTTTAAATGTAAATGGTATACAGTGTTTCAGAAATTTAAAAACACCGGTAAACGTTTTTTTCATAAAACGCACATCACGTATGGGACTTCTCTAAATGCAGTCATGTCTTATTAGCATCGAACATACTTTTTTCTGGAAAACCCATCAAGAAATCTTTGTAAATAAACAAATCTAATTCGCAAAAATTCTTTAAAAATGTGTGCTCCATATGAAAGGCTAACCACTAGTAGAAACAAAATTCGTAATGGTTGAGTGGTACGTTGTACTAGGTTACAATTGTCTTGAGTAAAATCGGCTAACAGCTAATAACTCTAAACTAAGATCAAAGTTAATATTCCGAATAAAGCTCAGCAAAATTCGCCGACAGCTAGTTGAAAACCGAGGTACTACGTGTTAGAGTGGGAACTTTAGAATTGGATGTGGGATTCGAGTTGGTAAACAAGAATGTCCAATCGTAAACTAGAAGCGTACAAACAAGGACTGCAAACTAACGCGAGTGACCGCATCAAACTAAACACACATCCTAGCCTCTTAACTTGGCCATTTGACTGTTGCGGCTCAAAACTTTGCCATCTACCTTTTTAACCTTGATTCTACCTCCCTTGGGGATTATCCAACTAATACAATCTTATTGACATTTGAACTATATCTACATTTTATTTCACCTCAGAAAAAAGTCTAGTTTTAAATATTCTAGAATTTTAAGTTGATGATTGCACATTAGAATGTCGCTTCAAAAGTTTGTTGTTTTTCCATAGGGCCAAGCCTTTTTTTACTTATGTCAGGAATAACTTTTTAATGAGTTGCTGCCATATATTTTAGCCAAATCAAGCCAGGTTAACTAATTTAGGCCAATGAAGGCCTAACGCCTTGTCTTAAGTATAAGATAAGGAATTGAGACACGAAGGTAAGTATTTTACGTTGTAAATAATTACTAAATAAATATTACCACAAAAAGAATGAATATCAAGAACTGGAACGAATAATCGGTTATGACTAAATGATTTCAATATATAAAATACAAACTACGGAATGTTAATTTAATAAATGTTTGCTAGTGAGATTTTAAACAAAATTAATCCTATCATAATTATGTTTCTTCTCCACCATATTGAAATTACATAACCAATCCTCAATGAAATCCCGAACAAAATTATTATTCTGGGCTACTGAAGATCATACGTATTAAACCACCCAGTGTATTTTTTTTTTTTTTTTAGATTTCTTATACAAAGAACTATATCATTCGTAGGCTATTGTAAATTGGTTGTTTTTATTGCAGTTTTATTGTAATTGTGTTATTAGTAAATTAATTATCTTAGAGCCAATTTCTACCACCAGGTCATAATAGCGTTATCACGTTGCTAAAATAAGCTGTTGGCGATTGGCTGGGTTCAAACCCGTGTCAAAATGTTCCTCGTCAAAAATTAAATATTTGTCAACAGGAAGTAAAACAGCTGATTTCAATAATACAATTAAAAGTAAAACTACACTAGCGCAAATAGAGAACTGTTTGAGCACAAGGGAAAATCAGCTGATGGTTTTCCCCTTGCTCTAGTGGGAAGATGATTAACAATTACTTTCTTTGATATCAGCTGTTATTGAAAAAAACATTCTGTTATATTAGTAGTTCCAGTAGATTAGGCAAAGACATCAATAAGCTTATGTAGTGTAAGTTTTATGCATACGCAAAAACCTATGTAGAGCACCTGAACTAATTTTGATTGAATGTAACAGGCTCTGGATAGCAAATTGTGGTCCATTTTTGGTCAAAATATCTTATTTAATAATTCATAAACATTTTCTATTGTTCTTGTTGTTGTAGGAAATAGAACATTGCTACTATCACGGCACAGTCAAGGACTATCCTGGAGCTACAGCGGCCTTCCACACATGTAACGGCGTCAGTGGCGTCATTCATGTGGGCAACGAGACGTTCGTTATCCACCCGTTCTACGGTGGCGACCTATCGGTGAGTAGTACCTAGCTGTCGATACTCATTCAACAGTAGCTATGTGTAAGGAAGCATTAAAAAAGTTCCTCCTGTAAAAAGCATTACTTTGTGTGTCTACCTTCACATCTTAGGGTGCCAGGCTCTACGGTGGATCTGTTTTACATATTACAGTAGACTTGAGACTAGATCTAGAGGGTCGTGGCATTTTCAAATACCTAAAAGCTATTGGTAAATGGCGAGATTTAAACCCTGAACCTCGGTGCCTAATCCATGCGCTTCTAACTCGTTCTCCCCTATCAGATACTGGCTTACACTTGTTGTAGACAAGGTTAATGAATATAAACTCCGACTTTTACCACTAGGGCTGTATTAAATTAGCTATGTTGGTAACCATTAGAAATCAGAAATAACATTAATTGAATTGCATTCCATATTTTATTCAGAAAAGCTTACAAAATCAAACTGAATTAACTTGACTCTCCATCCTCTATTCTTGCTTGTTGTTTACTCACATCCAGTCTGTTCAACAATTGCTTTTTATTGGTTCCAGTCCAGACTTTGGATTGCTATCAAAGCCAACTAAATTAAACATACATTTATATGTATATAAAATATTATTGTCCAGTTATTTTAAATTCGTGAATAAGAAAATAATCACACATTTCGTTTTATAATATTGCAGTGTACTGAATTGTCCGTCTTTGAGCGTAAAATTTTACTTTAAACTGAATTTTTTGCTAAAATGAATTAGGGGAAAAGCCAACCAGTCTATTGATCAAATTGGACTGGTATACTTACCATTTACATAAAGAGTTGCTAACAAGTTAAATCAGAATGTTATCTAAATTGGAGATTTGTAACATGAGTTTTGATGTTAGGTGTAATGCCTAGGTACATATACATAGAACTTATATTCTACTAACCATATTTTTTTGTTAAAAATAGATTGTTGGCAATAAATTTCTTTAAATTTAGAAAATTTGCTAAAGCTGTATTTTGTCAAATGTTTATTGGAAGATGTATAATTTATCAGAAAGAACATGAAAACCTATTAAAGCTTTACATAAACTTTTCCAATATAGTTCAATCTGTTCTGTAAGCTAGAGTAAGCAGTTTGTAAGTAGATTATCTCTATTAATGTCAGTTTTGACTTCTTATAACAATTAGATAAGCCCCTAAAACTTTAATAGCTTCAAGCATAATGTTTAATATCGCTATTAAATTGTTTATCAATAGTTCACCTATTAATTAAACTGTACTTTTTGTTACAAATATAAATTGATACAATACAATAAATTAAATTAAATTGGCGTTTGTGATTTTCCATAGGAAAAAGCTATTTAATTATTTTACCATCATCTAATGGTAACAACACTGTAATTATTTAATAAATAATTCAACCGAAAACTGTGTAGATTGATCGGCCGGTTATTAGTATGTGAAAATGATTTAATTCCTGATGACATTTATAATAAAATTATTAAAGTTTATCATTACAGTACTTATATGTTATAATGAAATATCAAGTGTTTTCTAGATTGATGAATGATTCAATATTCATAAAATTAATAATAATATTCATTCATATATTGAGCTAACTAATGTAGGTATTTGTCCGGAGTTATGTTCTGTGAATAGTAAATCCCAATATATATTTCATAAGTAATTAACAACGTTGATTGCAACAGAATTGTCAAACTCTACGAAGCTGTTTTCTTTGTAATCATCTAATTAGATATAAATGATATTATATTTATTTCCAATCAATACAGTTTATTAATCCGATCCAATAAAACACGAGTCTGCGATCGACTTTCAAGGAAAACATTCCTAATCAGTTTATTTCATCAAACCAAAACAAGATTTTCTTTGTGATGAAAAGATATTGAAAGAGAAGCTAAAGGACAATAATCCCAAAACGAAAAGTCTAATTAAAGGGAGCAATAGGAAATAAAATGAGATCTTCAATCCTCCGGATGAACAAATCCGATTCTAAAAGCACTTTGGTTGAGTCAGGGTGTAGTATTGATGGAACACGACCGATGGAATTAGTCGTTTCATTAGCTGTTCCATTTTGCGATCTTTTGTGAAAATATGTACAGAGATACCGATTCGCTAATCCTCTTTCAGATTACATGGGAGACGTGTACGTCATGAAATTATTATTCTAATTATATTTTCAACATAAATTAGTTAGGAGTTTCTGCATCATTATGTATATTTTATTACGATTTGTGACAAAACCCGACCAAATGACGAAATTAATTCTCTTCCCTAAATTTATTTGAATTATAGCTGACATATGCATAATGTATGTATGTGTTGGAAGTATTTAAATAAGTTGACATCTTGCTAGTTTTTGTATTATATTAAGCATCCAAAGAAATTGGTTTGTAAATGCACGGTTTTTCAGTCAATTAGTATGGATACCGTAATCTATCCGAGAAACCGAAGCAAATTTATTTGACTTTTAAACAATATATAACGTGTATCGGTGTATTTAAAAATCAAACCAATCGGTGTAAAGAAGTAGTCTAATTTTGCAAAATAAATGTTACCTTAAACAATTTAAGTTACTAAATGAGCAAGTCACTAAAGTTTATCATCATAGCATTGACATTATGAACTATATAGTCATTTACACCATAGAGTTCAGAAGGAAAATAAACAATAAATTTTGAATTGGTTTCAATCTTTCTTATATTACCGGTTAGTTAAGAGCAATAGTTGATGTTCTGTCGTTGCAAAAGAGCAACTTACTCTAAAACCGATAGCAGAAGTTTAACCCTCCTCGTCTTACGTTTACGTCTAACCTTCCCATTCCGAAGCGTTAATAGCTTCGATCAAAGACAGAAAGGGTCTAAGAGGTTAAGCAAGCTTGTATGTGTTTCTGGTAAGGACTTGCTTTGGGTGTTTCGCAGAGTTAGACCGCTAACAAGTTAAAGTCGGATTCCATCAGTTAATACCGTTAGAACATTAAAATTTACAGAAGAAAACTTAAAGGAGGCCAGTACATAGTTAAGTACGATAATACATACAAACTCAATTGTTTTATTTAAATAAGTAATACAAGTTGAACTTTATATTCAAACAACGCCCCATTTTTTTTCATTTTCATTCGAGCAATGTACTCATTTTTCAGAATAAAATGAGAAAATGCATATTTTCAGACGTTACTAAATATTTACTTGTTGAAAGATGTATGGTACTTACTTGATACTTGCTACCCCACGCTAGAAATATTGCTTAGTGGTTCGCAATAATTATTATGATCGAATTAATGACGTAATAGACGCTGCTTTAAACTAATGCCTAGTAGTAGGGCCGATATTAAAAAAGGTCTTAAATAGTGTTTTCCCCTTTTCTATCTATCTATATATATATATATGTCGGGAATTTTTATATTTATCATAGGTAAACAATTGTATAGTTTAACGTATCATTTATTTAACGAAGTAAAAATCCCTTCCCTCCAAATCCTACTGTTGCAAGCAGCCTGCGCTTGTCATCCATGCACCCTATTCTTCATCCTGGATGGTCAGTAATCAATCCTCTAGACCTAAAAGAGATATCCAACACCATCTACTAGGTCAATCCCTGGTACTTTTTTTGCGCGGTAGTATAGAATTATGTAATACTATTTTTTTTACTGTTTTCAATGAAGTAACATCAAGGCCACTTCTCACAATATATTACTACTTAAGTTAACTGTATAATAAAGCTTACCTTGAATAATATACAGGGTGTTTTTTTGAAAACTTGCATCTTTATTTATGTAAAAACCGCAATAGATATAAATATGCAGTTTGTGGGAATCATCTATGGACGTAGGGGCCCATTTTTTTTTATTCAACGTTACATTCACATTCCCCCCTTCCCCCCCTGCCGCCAACTTAATTTTTTTTTAATAGCAAGGTACCCATTGTGACATATCAAATGAAAGAACATGAAAAAAGAGAATGTTTGGTGAAATTTATTTTTCATTTGATATGTCCCTTTTGCTATAAAAAAAGATATGGGTAGGGGAAAAGGGGGGGGGATTAACTCGCAAATTCATGAGCCGATTTTCAATTTTTATCACCAAACATTTTCTTTTTTTATGCTCTTTCATTTGATATGTCACAAAGGGTACCTTGCTGTTTAAAAAAATTAAGTTGGGGTCAGGGGGGAAAAGGGGGGGAAGTGAATGTAACGTTGAATTCAAAAAAATTGGGCCCCCTACGTCAATAGATGATTCCCGCAAACTGCATATTTCTATCTATTGCGGTTTTTACATAAATAAAGATGCAAGTTTAAAAAAAAAAACACCCTGTATAGTTTGGATATGTTATAGCAGAGAGAAGTGGTTTTAGACAGTCCCTTGAAAATTAATTATATCTTGGGAAACATCTTGTTCAGATATAGCCTGTCTGCCTAATGACTCAGTACCTATTTATTTGCAAATACAAAATAATTTACTGGCCATACAAAATACAATTCTGTCCGAATTCCCAGGATAGCCTAGACCATAATCTAGAAATTATCTCATGCTTTGGCGTTCATAGTTATTTTTAAGACTTCTTTATCTTCAAGATGTATACACCAGAATATATGCACTTTGATTTGTACCAAGACACAAATTCATTTTTACATTATCTCTTGAACTCTTTTCAGTTGACCTTTTCACCACGTAAGCTTAAAGGATGTGTTTTTTTTTACTAGGTTTCCTCTAAATTCATTCTTTACACTGATTTCATTTCCACCATTTTGACCACGTGAAGCGAAAAAGGAGTTGATAATATATGAACGTTGCAAACACTATTTTCGCTGGTTCCATGTGTTCACCCACTATATTGATGTTTTCAAAATTTAAGTTTATAAAGCATCTTTGTCCTAGAGACACAACATTTCTCAAGTAATTTTGGTTTTTATAACGTTAAATTTTGGAGTACATTTACCAACATCGTTTTTAAACCTGAATCAATAATCCCATAAGAACACTTAATTATACCTAACTACAGCAGCAGTTACTGAATAAG